TGTCTCTTGACCACAAGTTGTAGCTTCATTTTGCAAAGCTTGCTTTTTAAAGATAATTTTGCAAAGCTCATTTTATAAAGCTTCCGGAAGTTTTAGGCCTAACACTGGCAATATTGGTGTTCATCTTAAGCTTGACAACAATCTTGCTCAGATTAATCACAACATGGTGTAAAACCTTTGGAAGAGACAGGGGAATCAGACTCTGTCTCCATGTTTGTCTGGTGAGTACCTGGTCCACTTTCAGTGCTGCGCAAATCCCGATAAAACACCTTTTAAAATCATCCCATTTGCTCTAAATCACCATTTCAAAGCCAGCCCAGGTCTGTAGTGACCAAAAGTTGCTCACATCAAATGCCTGCCTGAAATGAATGGTCCAAAGTTCAGTTCTTACTGGACAAATGTCCATATCACAAAAAAACCAGCAGTGTGAGTGGCAGTCATTTCATTTTACACTGGCTGATATCTGGCTTGTTTAATCCATATCAAATATTCATTGCTTCCGCTGGCATTTGTCTATTTCCCCTTGCTCCTCTGAAGCAGAAATCTTTCTCAACAAATATTGCCCAAAGTGATCAGGGCAGAAAACTACTAGGAATGCATTTAAGAACCTAAGAGAGTCTGAATCTAGTGTTTAGGTGCGATCAGAGGGACACCCCAGCCAAGTGAAAAAGACAAAGCTAAACTGGCCCCCTGGAGAAGAAATCCTCAAACTCCCATACAAAGAGCAGATAATCTAAAGAGACTCGTGCTCCGGTGAAATGAGGCTGACGAGTAACAGCAGCGTATTTCACCCTCTAGCTTTGCCTGCTTTATCTGACATGGTGATTTCCCCCTTTTGCAACAGAGCTCCTCGCAAGCTGCAGTGAACCATTTCCAAAGTAGAGAGAGGAATACAGCTCTAAGCACTGACGCATCTTCATCTTCAGTGATGGGGGATACTTGGATACTTTGTTGATATAAAGTACAACACACGGTCACCATTCGGGATCTTCATCCTGATGGTAGAGCTGGACAGCCATCAAACTCGCAGCATCACCGAGTTGTTCTTGTTCAAGCATACCTGGGAGTCTGAGGTGGGATTGAAAGGACTCTCTGTAACTCACCTCTGGTTACTTCTGAGAGACTAGATAGCTCAGGGGGTTAGCAAGAGCAGAGCCTGTTCTCTCTGGTTGACACGCAGCCCAGGTCACTAAAAGTTAGCACCAGTTGGTGGCCTGTGAGAAATGAATTTGGCAGAATCAACCCAGAGCCTAGAGACTAACACAAAAACAAGTGAAGTACAAGGCAGAGGATGAAGCTAATCGCAACCGGGTGGCAGCAAAGAACTCCCTCGAGTCCTATACCTACAACATGAAACAGACCGTGGAGGACGAGAAGCTGAAGGGCAAGGTCAGCGACCAAGATAAACAGAAGGTGCTCGACAAATGCCAGGAGGTGGTCACCTGGCTTGACCACAAACAGATGGCCGAGAAAGAGGAGTACGAGCACAAACAGAAGGAGCTGGAGAAACTCTGCAACCCCATCATCACCAAACTGTACCAGGGAGGAGCCGCCCCAACCGGTGGCGCCGGAGGACCAACCATTGAAGAAGTGGACTAGACTGGACTGAACTCTGCACTGTTCAGGGACAGTTATTTTCCCATTCTCAGTTTTATTTTCATTCCTAACCTTAAAAAGTCAGTGTCAATAACAGTTTATTCTGTTTGGATGTGCATAGAAGCAGATCTTTCTCAGCTTCCTATGTGCTTACAAAGAGAAGGCAGTCCAGCTTGATAAGGTTAGTAGCAATACGTTTTTGTTAACCCAGATACAAATGATAGTATTCTGGATGTTGTCTTTAGATGTTCAGTGTCTTCTCTGAAGTGCCCACTTGATTGTTGACAAACATTTCAAGTTTTGAATGGAGACGGTTTACCAAACGCTTTAAAAAATATTTGACAGTATGGCATCTGGAAATTTTGGTAATAAAAAAGACTAACACAAAAATACAAATTGTAGGCAGTCTCAGCAGAGACACCGAGGACAGAATAGAGACTGCAATACTGCTCCCAGGTTGGCCATGGATTTTTGTCCCTACCCTCCATAGGAGAGTGACAGTATCCTGCAGCCCTCTGATTGGCCAAACACCCTATTTAACCCCAGGGGTTATCCCAGAACGTTGCCTGGGCAACCATACAGACTTCAGTCTGTTGTGACTCCAGACTTTGCCTTGTCTCCTGATCTCTGGTTTCTGATCCCAGCCTGACTCTAACCCTGACTCTTGCAATTCCTCCAACTCCTATTCAGCAACTACCATCCCTGCTGCACAGACCCCGCCCAGCTGTGACCACTAGGCAAGACCACGCATACCCCATTTCCCTGACACCCAGTTTGTGATGTGGCTGTAGCAATGATGCGGTGAACTGCCCTTTAGTCTATGTAGTTCTCCACGGTCACTCCCACAATTCCCTGGGCTGTATCTTCCCACCTTTCAGCCTCCTCACTTCCCTTCCCTCCCACTTTGTCCACGGAGTGGACGTTCAGAGCCAGCACTAGGCATAAGCAGACTAAGCAATTGCTAAGGGGCCCCCCATTTGCTTTTTAGTATGTGGTGGGGGGGCTGCAAAAATATTCCTGCTTAGGGCCCCCAATGGGCTAGCCCTGCCTCTGAAGTTACCTTATATTTACATTCCCTTGAGCAGTGTTCAACCCTCCACTTTTGTGTGAGTGGATTGAACCCACAGTTCACTCCAGTTAATCCCTGCGCCACCACTGAAAAAAACCCCAAAACAAAGCCACCAAAAACGCCCGTCCAGCATTTCTAAACTAATTAGAAGTAACTTCAGTTGCACTTGTGCTTTGCTGCACAGTTTTGTTTTCTGGGGTCCCCCCCGCTCACCGCCTTTCAGAGGCCTGAATGGGCTTTGATGTGCCTAGCAAGTTTGCAGACTTCCCCCCTCCTTTTCTTTATTACAGTGCACTGAAGCGTAATGGCACCGTCGTCCATCCTACTCTACTTTTCCTTGTCTTCCACAGCTGCAGACTTTGTAGTGCCGTGTTCCAAATCTATGCCATGGAATTATTTATTATTTCTTGTTTTGTAATGCTGGGGGGGGGGTCTGTTGGGCATATGCTGTAATGCACCCTGGCGACGTCTTTCCTTGACTCCTGCTGGTATGTTGCAACAAGAGTTTTTAATCCTGCACTAATGGAATCCATTGGAGACTTATCCCTTTTTCCCCAATGGATGGTGGGCATTCGCAAGGATCATAACAAAAGGGTTATGGGAGGAAGAAGAGACACCCACGGCCCCACTCACCGGACACCTATCCAGCCTTGTGTGGCACCTGCATCCATCACCATTTACTTTCTGGGTGGAGGACCCCTCAGTCCACTCCCCATCAAGAGGCTGCATATTGGGGTTCAGTCACCCCACAAGGGGACCCATGGTGCGTTCTGGGGTGGTAATGGCACCTGCATTACGCTGTCGTCGTCCCCACTGCCACCCATACAGAGGTTAATATCTGATAGGGGGAAGCACAGGTTACAGTAATTCACCGTCCAGGGTCCCAAACACACGTAGGCCGTGGTGCATGCAGTAATGGCCCCCAGCACTAAGGGGCCCTCTCCCCCGGCCCCCTACAAAGCAATGCCCGGATTGGTAACTGACATGTGAAAACTGACAACAGAAGTAACATTTGTTAACAGTCCACACGGTGTAGAGACAACGGGACATCGGATTTCATTAACTTCACCCTGATGGCAAAAAGTGTGGGCTCAGAGGTCATCCCTCACTTCACTTCCATGCGAGGAAGCAGACCCAGAGAGGACCAGGCCAGTGCGTTTTCTGGTTGCGGGTACCTGGCCTGCAAAGCGGTGGGGTGGGGTCTTCTGGGCACTTTATAGGAAAACGTCGCCTTTAGCCGCGCAGGTGCTGTGGAGGGTGCAGCAGGCCATGATGGGATAGACAGCAGCAGCAGCCACTGTGGCTTCCAAATAGCTGTAGAATCTGGACCATCTCGCCTTCAGTCTGCCAAAGGCACCACTCCTCAACCAGCCTGCAACCGCTGAGCATGTAACGGACCCATCTCTGGCCAGTTGCTGGCCTGTTGGCATGGTTTCATGAGCCACGTTAGAAGCAAGCACACAGGGTTCCCCAAAATAGTAGTTGGCACCATATGCCCCCTCTTGACAATATTAAGAGGAGGAAATAAGATACATCTATCTCAAAGAACTGGAAGGGACCCTGAAAGGTCATTGAATCCAGCCCTCTGCTTTCACTAGCAGGACCAAGTACTGATTTTGTCCCAGATCCCTAAGTGGCCCCCTCAAGGATTGAACTCACAACCCTGGGTTTAGCAGAGCAATGCTCAAACCACTGAGCTATCCCTCCCCCCAACTTTGCCAGATAAGTACAGTCCTGATCTCCTGAAAACCATCACATCATGTGCCTTGCCAGCGCTACCCCCATTGTTGTTTATGAACCTGCCTCGGTGGTCCATCAAGGCCAGAAGAATGATGGTGAAGTACCTTTTGCAGTTAACATATTCGCTTGCTCCTTGTGGCAGGCAAATTCTGGGCCATCAGTAGCCCCAGAGCAGTTGGGGAACCTCATGCTCTGAAATCCAGCTCCTTTTTTCCTAGCACATTTCTAAAAGCCAACAACATGTGGATACGTCACAGTAACAACTGCCTGGCAAGCCTCCACCCCCACAACCCCCACAGTTGACTTGCCCACAGCAAAGTGGTTAGCCAGGCACCTAGAGCAGTATGGAGTAGCCAGCTTCCAGGGAGCAATTGCAACCAGTGTCTGCACTGGTATGACCACCCTCCTCTGGAGGGTCAGAGCAAGCTCCTTGTACAGTTCCAGGAAGGTCTGTTTCCTCATGTGGAAGTTCTGGATCTTCTGCTGATCATCCCAGGTTTGCAGGACGCTGTGGTCCTCCCATGCTGTGCTAGTTATCCTGCACAAGGGATGTCACTCCATATCACTCCACACATAGAAAATAAGCTGCGGCGACCCTCAGAATCCCTCTGCCTTCTTCATCTCCGAAACTGTTCCTGAAATGCCACCCAGCGTCGCACCAAACATCTACCCCACTGATAAACCATTCACTCGCAAACAGGAGCAGCCGATGAGGTGGAGCCGTGGCTAGTCCCTGGGCTGGAATGGAGAGAAGTTGAACAGGTTGTACAGCCAGATGTGATTAACAATATGGTGGGCTGAAAGCACTTCCACAGTGGGGATGGGCAAGGACAGATTAGCTCTAGAGCAGCTCCATGGGGTGAAGACGCTAAGGACTATGGGATATGCACCTACAAATGCAGGCACGGAACAACATGTAGCTGCAGCGTTAGTGTGGATGCAGCTACATCGGGTACGGTGCGCACGCAGCTCTGCAGTGTGGACTCTGGTGATGGGCTTAGCGGACGCCTGGATGAATGCACACAAGTCAAGACATGGGTACACTCCTAATGTAGACATACTCTTAGTCTCCAGGGCTATCAATGCAGCACCTTCACTGGCACATAATTCATACAAACAACACGACAGTTTTTGCTGGCGAGTGGTTGTTTTGTTTTATTCTTATGAATACAGACATAACACACACATTAACAGTGATTCTCTCAGCTACATGGCCTTCTAGAGCAATGTTTCTAAACGACCGGTCCGTGGACTGGTGCCAGTCCCTGAGATCTCCCTGACACAGTTTAGGAAGGCAGCACGCCGATCCCTAGAATAAAAAAAGGTTGAGAAACACTGTTCGGGAGGGAGTCAAGACTGGCACAAATTGACCTTGCAGCATGATATTTAGAGGAAGTAAAGATGATACCATGTGTCGTCCATATTGTAACCTAGGGCGACCAGACAGCAAGTGTGAAAAATCAGGACGGGGGTGGGGGGTAATAGGACCCTAGATAAGAAAAAGACCCAAAAATTGGGACTGTCCCTATAAAATCGGGACATCTGGTCACCCTATTGTAACCAAACCCAAACTCATGCAAAAAGTAAGAAGGCGCCAAACTTGATGGTCTGTTACAATCAGGGCCGCACCATGAGACATTTCCTCCATGGCAGCGGGTTGGAATGACATTCTGGAGGATGAATCCTGTGAGATGACTTGCTGGTTGCATGTGGTCATGTGACTGTGTTTCAAGGACATTTTATCCTACTTCTGATCTTGATATAGGGCTTGGCCGCAAGATTTTAGACTCCAAACTCCACGTCAGACGAACAGGGACACATTGTCCTCAGGAAACTGGGGTGCCGCAAGGGAGATCTGCAGCCAAATGTTCATGTATCAAGGTCTCTATTTTGCTTGTGACATGATCCCACTGGGGGTAGGGCTGGTCTATCAATACACAGGCCTAGTTTTGAAATGAAGTAACCAAAACGTAGAACTATCTGATAGCATTCATAAGAAAATTTGGATCGGGTACCCCACTGGTGTTCAGAACTAGTTCCTGATGCCATCAAAGTCAGAATTCTGGGTTAAGATTTTGATCTAATCCCTGACTGTTGGGCAGATCCTCATTCACGTACAGTATCCAAACCAAAATGTGGTATACATATCGCCAGATCCTCATCTGCTGTGGCACCTCTGACATCTATTAGACAAGGATCTGCCTCTTATGCTCTAGGAACTGAACCGAGAACTGCAAATTCACAAGCTTT